TTTTTTAGCCAGATACAGAGTCCTTTCATTGACATCATTGGGGACCCCTGGACAGGAATGTTTTCTTTTCTCCCAGCTGTAAAGAGAGCCTGTTGTTGGTCTCCTAAAGCTGCCTTTTCCAAGGAACGCTCCCTGTGCAGTGTTCTCCTTTGATTTTAGACATGATTAAAACTTACAGCCATGCTCTCAGTTGTGTAAGGCTAACAGAGTATCTACCTGCGCAGAGATGAGCAAACGTGAGATTCCTGATGCTAAGCCTCTGATGTGCATTGAGCTATGTGCTCCACATGAAGTTCCCAACCCCTTTATGCCTTCCAGCTGCCAGCAGAAGGGAGTTCCACAATTTGCTCAGGGCCAGGCACACCTTTATTCATAGGAAAACCTGCTAAGAAGCAGCCAGAGCAAACCAATACTGACTCATACCACATGTGTACTTGCTCAAGTGACCACTTCCAGAAACGATAAAATACTGCGGACAAGCCCTGTCCTGCAAAAATTACACATTCGCAGCTCATTCGGCAGACTGGGTTCATTGCAATGAGGAAAGCCACCATGTTACAAAGGATAGCTTTCTTTACACATTTTCTCAAAGATGTTTTCTCCCACCCCATGTAACTGTGTAGGAACAACCAGTCAGGAGACAACACCAAGAGAAACTGCAACATACTTTGCTGAACTGCACTGTAAGCTGTGCCCCATCTCTTGACTTCAGTCCTGGCTCTCCTCCACAGAAATGAAGTTAACCATGCACTACAGGCTGACCAGCAACAATATCAGCCACATGAGTATCTCGCCAGCTTAATTTAGGATGGTCATGTTTGCATCAGTTACATTTCTTCCCTATAAGAAAAGAAAGCTAAGAAGAGAGTAGAGAAAGAAAGAGAAGTAAAGGAAGACAAAAAGCAGGTTTTGTTTTTTAATAACTTGAAAGTATGATCTGATAGGGAGAGAGCATTTAGTTTATTTTGGTCCACTTCAGATTTCCAGTCACTTTGTGAGGTATATCAGTTGGCAACTGTGGACATTTTAGCACAGTCAGGTAGACAAAGGTCAGGAAGAATCATCAGAAGCAATCTAAAAGGCCAGGTTTTACCCTAGTAAAGTGTAGTTACTTTAATTAAAAAAGTCTTGCTGCTCAGTTCAGTACCATCTATGAAACAAAACCCAAGGATTTAAGAAATAATTATATTTGAAATTATATTAATTAATGTTCAATTATATTTGAAATTAATGTCATTATAGTTACATCCCAAATGAAAAAGCCAGCTAAATGTAAAACCAGTCTCTCCTCTGTTCTCACCTGCCTGCTGTATGTAAAGTCCTATTCAGGTACCAGGGGAACGGAAGGTCCCACTGGAAGTACTCTTTGCTGTAATTTTTACATGACTACAGTACAGAAGCTAACGTGGCCAGAGCTCTGGGATGCCAGTACCTTTCCTTCTCCATGACTCCAAGTCCTTTCTCTGTCCCTGTTATCCTCCATCTCCCCTCCTCTCTCTCTTTCCCTCTCTCTCCTGCCATACACACACATCCCAAGTCAGAGTGATTTATAGACAGCAAGGAAGATTTGTGTTGGACTTTACATCTCCGTCTGTCCATCTGTGAAACAGTTTTCTAGTCATAGACATTACCTGAATAGCGATTTAACAAAAAATAAAAATGCAAAGGCCATTTCACAAAAAAAATCCAAGTCACTGAATTTGTTAAGCTAACTATTTTTTCTCTTTTGTTCACAGTAATGCTGGCAAACATTTTTAAAAGTGCAGGAAAGATTTTTAAAAGAGGCTTTAAAAAGCAAGCTCTCTCTGTTTTTTGGAAACACTGACAATCCTACTGCCATTATCAGAAATGCCTGCCCTTGGCCAAAATCTCTCCTGCTCCACTCTGACACGCACTGGCTGCTAACCTGCTGTTACACACTGGCTGGGAAGGCGTACTTGAACAGCCAAGAGGGCACCGCTTGTGAAAGGACTGTAAAGCATCATGCACTACTAAACTGGAGAGCCCACACAGAAAGATCCTGTTTGTACCTGCTTTTATCTAAAAAGCTGTTGCACTTACTGTGTGCAGGTGTACGTCAAAGTTAGCTGGACGCTACAAAACCTGATCTGGTGCCCACGCAATTCAGTCTTTTGCTCCTTTTACTGTCTGCTCTCCACAGATCTGCATGAACTCAAGCTAGCGAACTCTGAAAAGCATTTTGCCTGGCTTGCCAGAAATGCTTGAGCACCTAGCCAGTCCACAAATAGAAAAGAGAACAATATCAGCTTCATATTTGTTTTTATGGGTTGAATTAACTTCAGAATCAGCACTGTGCGTGCAATAGCAATGGAAACTGAACTTACCTGCCCTCGGACAACATACCAACGCTACTGCCTGAGTAAAAACTGAGACACAAAGTCCTGGTTGTAATCAATTCACGGTGCATTCTCCTGAACTGGAGTTTGTCAAGTATTTCTGACAATTTGAGGATAACACTATCTTGTGTATAGATATTTCACAAGCAGAGAAAAAAAAACTACCTGGGATACATTATCTGTTAACTGTTCACTCAGCTCATGATAGGTGTGTGACTCTGAACTGTATTTGGCATCTAACATCTCTCTTTTGATAGATAGCGGTATCTCAGCAGCCTGCTCTCTGAGCCAGTGCAGACAAGGAATGGGCAGCACACGTTCATCAAACTAACATCTGCTTTCAATTCTCATTTATAGATGTGGAATCCTTTCAACTGGACATTAATCATTCTCTACAGCAGCAATTAGATACTTGAGACACATCAGAACAAATCAAATTAGCCTTATTTATTAAACAAAAAAATCCTAAGGAGTAAATAAAAAAGACACCAGACCATCCTGTGAGCAGCAACATAAAAAGAAAATTAAGATACTGATACACAGGAGTCTAAAAGCTTTCAGGTGCTATTTTCAAAGCCTCAACTGTAACCAAATAGCAGAGGGCTCTACTGCAGAATGCCTCATGGATTACTTTAGCAATAAGGTATAATTGAAAGGATTAACGTGAATGTAATGTTTCCCTTCCAAAAATTCCAGGAATGCAAAAATGACTCTCATCTGCATTGTGTGACTCATGTTTTGAATGCTGGAACTTCATTTTCACTCATGAGGAATTCAAGCTCAGGGAAATGTTACCACAGAAATCCTCATTCAATTGACAAAGGAAAATCTCTCTCTCTTTTGCTGCAGTTAAACGAAGCCTAAGAATCATATCTTTGGAGAGTCTGGCTTGGTTCAGCTTCAGGCAATGGACATCCTGCACACCGAGGAGAGACACTGCCCTCCCCAAGGGATCAAACGGATCACCCTGAGGAGCTCAAATTCTCCAGACTAGCTCAAACCAAGCAGAGCAGCTTCCTCTTGCTGGGTTTCCCCAGCTTAACATGGCAGACAGCTTTCAGCAAGCAAGGTGGGGGACACTGCTACATTTGTGTGGAAATTAGTAGCAAAACAGCTGTATACCACAAGACAAATCTGGACTGGTCTAGGGGAAGGTGCACAGCTATCCACCAAACACCCGATACTCTCTTTCTCTATCTTTCCTTCAGTTGCTTTTTCCAAAAATTGCTTTTATTTTTTAATAAAACATGTAACATGTTTGTTACAGAACACTGGCAATGCCTAAGTGAAGAAGAACTCTCACCATCTAGATCATATGTATCAGCAGCATTTCAGGAGTTTTTTATAAGGGGTCTAAATGTTAAGCAGATGAGAAGTTTCATGAAAGAATACGTCTGAGAACAGCAAGCAGGGTTTGGCCATCCACACACAAAATGATCCTCGTCTGCCTGTGCCATAGATCATGAAGCCGATCATCTGCTCCCATCCAGAAAGCCCCATCCCGCGCCGGGCTGCCTTTGCTGCTGGAAAGCACCAGGGTGGGACGAGCAGGTCCAGAGGAAATGTGGTTCTGCTGCACGCCATGAAAGAATGTGCTGCTTTATCACCTCTCCTCTCAGTACCTATTCAGGGTGGCCATGGGTGGGATGGAGACTTGCATGGGAAGGAGGAAGGCACTTTTTCCAGTGAACCTGTCAGACCTCTCCTCCTCCTCCTTCGATATCCACAGCCTCCCATGCTGATCCTTCCCTCTCCCTTCCCCAGCTCCTCATACACCTGCCTGTAATAACAGCAAAGATACCATCTGGGGTTAGCTCATTACATGTTTATTACTCCTTTGTTTATTTCTTCATAAATATAAACTGTTGTTACCTGTGCGAGCCTGTGCATCTAGCCCAGTTCTGGTGAGCCTTAAAAGCCCCAAACTGAAAATAGCCTAAAGATGTGAAGAATCAAAGCCGGCATCACAGCCCAAAAGGCAGCCAGTTAGCCAAGGTATGGAGAGAGAACCATTGCAACATGCAGCATGTAGGGATGGTTTTATATTTAAGATTTCCTGGCTCGGAGGTACTGTGTTAGCTAGTTAGATGTGGTTATAAATAGAAGCGCCTGCTGACATTAATCACAATAATTTGGCGATGTGGCTACCGATGTGAAATTATGAAAGGGACAGGTACCTTGCAAAGCTAAGCCCAGTTTATTGTCGGCCAGATCGTTTATCAGCCAGGGAAAATAACCTTTCCTCCATGTTCTGTGATCTCATGCAAACAGGAATCTGAGCGTGAGAGGGAGGAAGGGGCCTTGGTTTTTTATTTGATTTGATTTTTCATTTGGTTCAGTGTAACTTTAAGAAATATTAATATGCTCCTTCGTTTAATTTCATCTGTACCACTGGCCAAGAGAAATGCACTAATTTATAAGTTGAAGCAAGCCTTGAGATAATGTCACCCACCATTCATCCAAATTTGTCACTAGCATCCCATTAAAGCCGTAATTATTTTTTAATTAAAACTAAGGAAGCTGGCATGCATGTGCCTACTTTATACATCTGTTATGGGTTAAAATAGCTTTTAAAAAATGGTTTTTTAGACCACAGTCTTTTGTGGCCGTGGCCTATGCCAAAGAAAACGCAAACTTGCTTATTTTCTCCATGGGGCGCAACACTGCCTATGTGTGCCTGAACAGATTCGACTGGCCGTGAAAAGAATTCTAAATAAAACACAAACATGGAATTTGGCAACGCCACAGAAGCGAGCTTAAGACTAATTCCAGCATGCGGACGGCTCTCACACAGCGAGTCTGGCTCCACTATAAATGAAACCAGGCTCTGTAAAATCGCCAGTAAAGTTTGAGTTAGGATTTAAAGAGACAGCGCTCTTATTCCAAGGTTTAAGGGGGAAAAAACCACACGCGCGCGCGCACATAGTCGCATACACCAACTTATTAAGGAAATTCATGCTGGCCCAATAAGTCTGCACATTGCAAGCTGTGTTTACTTTCAGCAGGCATTTCCATTTTTAAAAAAAAGTGAAGTTAAAAAAAAAAAACACAAAAAAAGCAAATTCACTTTGGACTTGATTTTTAGAAAAAAATGCTGTAATTATTACTGCGGGGACCACTGGCAGAGACAGCAATGAATGAAGGACCTACCTGATGGCAAAGTTGAAATGATACATTAAAAAAAGAAAGGAGTATGAAAGTTTGGGGCAGAGCAGGGGAGGGGAAAGGTGCGGATGGGGAGAGGCTCCATGGCCAGGGTGGCCACGGACAGAGCAGCCTGTTCCCATCAGACAGCCCAGCAAGTGGGATGGTGACTCACTGAGACTTGCTGGGAGGGAGCTATATGCAATGCAGCCCCGTGCTGCCATGGAGAGGGGCAAATCTAACCCCGGGGCAATGCAACCCCTTGGGTAATACCTCCCCACGGTCCCAGCCAGCCCCAGAGAGTAAAGACATCGGCGAAGAAAGAGTGAGGAGAAAGTGAGAAACAGCATTCACTCATCTTTACCTATTAAGGAAAAAACAAATTTAAGAAATCCCAGCTTATAATCACAAAACATGGCCTGGCAAACTTAACAGGAAAGGGCAAGGAGCAAATAATTTAAGGCAGTGATGGTACTGTCTCCCACACACCCTCATCCTCCCTTACAGCTCTGGATGATATCAGGCCACAGAATTAAAATTAAACCTCAGGTGCCCACCTCAAACCCTGACCATCAGTTTTTTCCTCAAAACAGGGAGAGCACAGGGAAAGATTTGCTGGCTAGAGGGCTCTAAATATGGGAAGAGCTCAGACATTTATGAGTGTGCTCAACTGCACTAATGAACGTTGACAGTGATGGTGGAGGCAGAGGCTAGCACCACTGCAGCTTTCACACTGCTCCTCGTGGAAAACCTGCAGAGAAAGTACGAAGAAAATTGGGAGGGAGTTTACAACAATTTCACAAGATTTTGTACAACTATTCTACATATCTATTGATAATGATAATGAAAGGTTTGGCTTCAGTAGGCTACACAGTTTTTAAGATTCTACCTCGACTTTTCAATGGAAGTATTAGTTCAGTTTAAGGAGAATCCAGAAAAAAATAGAGAAAGAACGACGTTTTTTTATTATATTTTATAAGGTTTTGCAGAAAGGTGAAGTTACTCACTAATCTTGTCCTCACCATAGGCAAAACCACAGTGATCCTACTCCCAGTTCAATCAACAGTTCACACATTTTTATAAAGGATTCGGATTAATCAATCCGTAAACACTCAGACCTAATTTTTGGACAGACTTTGCATTATAAGCCTGTCTGTGCCATAATAAATGAAATTATTCTCTCCCTGTTCAACCAGAGGAGAGGAGAAGATAACCCAAATCTCTGTTAGAAGGTGCAAACTGAAAAAATAGTTCCCCCACAGGCAAAGGGTGCTGCTGCCATGTTGAGGTCTTCCTATGTTCCATGAATTTTTGTTTTTCACCCTGAATGCCATGGATAGTTTTAAATGGTACATACTTCCCAACAATATTCTGATTCTTACTTAAATCTCCCTGCATCCCTGAATTCCATAGACCATTTTCACAGCTGGCGTAACAGTACAACGCCACTGAAGTCAGAAAACACCTCACAGAAAGATGCTCAGCTAAGCATCCCTAGGCAGGTCCCTAACCCATCCCTCAGTGGACTGCTGGCATTGTACAGCATGCCCTGGAAACACCACGCTTGTCACGCAGCCATGGAAGAGACGTAAGGATCAGGTTTAGATCTGGGCCTCACGTGAAGTAATCTAGGTCAATACAGGACATGTAAGGAGGCAGTCTGACACACAGAAAGGATAAGATGCTCCCCTCACTTTGCCAGGGGACGGACTGAAAATAATGCATTCACAATTGGCTCCAAATAGCCAAGTGACATTTAAACAAGCATAAAAGCTGCAGGTATGTTGTGCAAACTGGCTTCTCTCTAACCAGAGATTCCTTATGTTAATAGCAAAGACAATAATTTAGAAAGCACCGTTTCATGGCGTGATTCCAGCACCTATGCCTCCCCACCGCCTTGCTTAGTGCCTGTATTAACCTCATTCCAGAAGTCCCAGGACCTCTGACTCTTACAGCTGAATTCATTAAAAATGTAAGCCCTTGTTATGTGGGATTTTTGCCTGCTTCCTTCCAAGTGCACGCTTTACTGACTCATTGAACCTGGCTTCCCCAGCTCGTGCTATGGCAGGTTGTGTTAGCTGGAACAGGGACCCATAGAAATGGTTTGATTAAGACAAAACCAAGAGGGAAATAAAGACAGAAAAGGCACGTACCATACTCTAGCGTACCAGATTTCTGTACGTACTGCAAAAATGCTTGGAAAAAGCCTGACCAAAAGAAAGCAAACAGCATAAAAACGTATGTTGCTAACAGTTGCTCAGCTGTTTACTGCTCAGCAGAAAGAAGGACCAATATGCAGCACACAGGAGCCCAGTGGGGCACACGCGAGGTGCATCAGCATGGCTTCTTTGACTCAGATCCCTTTCTGAACATAAAGCGTCCCATCTGAGCACAGAACTCTTCCTTTCAGCTATTTTTACGAAGCACTCAGAAAAGAAAAAAGAACCCAGGTCCTCTGAATTAGGCAGCTCTGGAGGGACATGGAGTAATTTTTTTGCAGTCCTCTGGCCTAAACCTGAGCCACCCCAGGAATATGTGATCCAATTCCTTTAAAAAAAATAAAATAAAATAAAGCTATTTCACTGCAAAATGTACAACGCCTCGCCTCTACCTTTCCCGCTCTGACTTGTGAACTAAAGAGCGGTTCTCATTGCAACTACCTACACCATACCCCATGCCTTGCCATACTTCCTTTGATGCTGAGCATTATATTTGTGCACAAGAGATTTATCTCTGTTCTCACAAACTGAACAGCCCAATTCACTTCCTGGCTCAGACACACAAACACATCCGCACGTATCTGACAGAAAGCGAGAAAAAAAGTGATGACAAAAAACTACTGCTGAAGGGGCAGGAGAAAACTCCATCCTGAATATGCCAGGTGAGGCTGTACAAGTGAACTGTTTAGCATATGCTATGTACAAATGAATGGCAATTTACTGAGAGAAAGAAAGAATAATTGCAAACACTTATGCCTCGTGCATGTGTATAAAAAAAAAAAAATCAGCTCTTAGAAAGCGGGTGCATTGCCCAACCAAAAGGCAAGGCACCTGACAAACAACACTACCCCTAATTTTGTCGCTTTGTAGGTGATTGCTTCCTTCCTTCTCTTCCTGCAGTTGATTTCTTCTCTTTTTCGGAAGTGTTCACCAAGAGGCATTCAACTCCCTGAAACGGGTGGGAAGGAGGTGGCAGCAGGGAGAGGCTGGTCCTATCCTGCAAACCATCCCTGGTGGTTACCCTGCCGCAGAAATGCGAAAGCTGTTCCTGTCCCTTTGCTGAATACGAACACGCACCATGCTACAACTTCAAAAATAGGTCTGCTCCTCCTTCAAACAACCAAGGTGTTTGGGGATGTAACGGCCGCTGAAAGCTACAGCGGTGCCCAAACCTTGCCTAGTGCTCCCCATTAAAGCAGTCTTTATTTACGCTGGTGTCTTCTGGAAAGTACTGCACAAACACCAAGAAAAGAGAAGGCTCTGATTTGTTTGGGTCTTCTGTCAGAGCAGCCGGCAACTTGCCATCAGTGGTGCCTCTTTGTAACCAAGCTACTCTCCCCCTTCCAAACTACTGATACTCCCAAATATTAACTGAATCAAGGGGGGGAAATGGGTCTTATTACTAATGGGAATAACAAGACACAAGAAAGGAGCCCTGTAAAAAAACCTGCTCAATGAGATAGAACAGAAATGTCCGTCCTTTGCTTTCTCGTAACCTCCCCTTTTGCCTCATCTCCCACCTGACACCACCAAAGCCTGTTCATGCTTTAACAAAGATGGATCAGTTGCTGTGCAGTCCCCTGGTGCTTACCTACACTCTGAAGTCACCTACTCCTAACCCAGCCATCGCTCAGCAACCTCTAAAAGGAAATAAATTCGTTCATTCCAATAAGAAAATTATAAAATCACCTTCATCCATCTTGTTCCTATATTTTTAGATTTGATTGTGGCCAGAGAATTGCTGGCTGGGAATTACCCTTCCCCCACTCACACATACACCCTTTAAAAATGCAAAATCTAGCCCTCTATTTCAATATTTCTGATGTCAGTGACCGGTGTCGGCTCTCCCCATACAGTAACTGCTTTAAAGCGCTGCATACAGCACTGCATTAAAAATTAATTACACATGCTATTTTATTGATAGTGCATAATGTAATGAGCACCAGCTGTGCTAAACATCCAAACTCCTTTTTAAGACAGCTATAAAAAAAGAAAGAAACTGCACTTCCAAATGCTTCTCCTGTCAGAGGAGAAAAACAGCAACATCTTGGATGGATTTGAAACAGGATTCTTTGATTTAGCTCTCCATTTGGAGCGTTTGAAGAGTTCAGACTCTCGGGCTCAGCGTAGTGGTATGCGATCGAGTTAACTCTCTCAATGTTGGAGCCATTGTCTTTACTGCAGGCAACGTCGCCTTGAACCCTTTTGTCCCGAGACTACCAGATTCAGTTCCACCAGTTAATATTGCAATTAAGGGCTTTTCTTTTTTCCTGGGATGTCTGGAAATGGCAGGCATCCACTTTAAAGCACCTTTAAATATTGCTATTGCTCCTGCTGGTTCTTAAC